ATATGATGATTTAAGACAAAAATGTCTGCATGCCATTGGAGACTAGATCTTTCTGGCATAAAAACATACACATTTCTTCAAGATACTATTTAAAAGTATACCTTATTGCATCCTCATGTATGTGAGTTGTCTTTCATTGATTCTTTCCTTTGTCCTGTGTATTTGGCTAACCAAAGTCCTAATGCCCAGTTCTAAAAGAAAAATTACCATTAAAACCATATTTCTTTGACTAGAAATACTATATTGACACTTTTTTTGTATGTAAGCTTTCTAAAGTGTTTAAAAATCAATTAAACAGAGCAATGCAATTACAAATCACATGAAGTATTTCATACTATATGGGATAATATACTACTAAAGAGAAAAGTTCTTTACCTATAATTTCTACATTATTTTCATTACAATGAACCAAACATAATGTTTCTACTTTAGCTCTAACAATTCTTTGTGAAGCTGCACAGTGGTTGAGGAAATCTCTTTCTAGGACTAGTGGTGAGATGGCTGTAAAAAGTTCTTTTATTTGAAAGCCAGAAGGATTACCCTATGTAAATAAATTGTTCTAAGCTTTCTATCATTAGTAATAATCCTTAATATTCTTCAAGTTGTTTGCTGAATATTGTCTGTTCTTCCATTCAAAAATTGTATCAGAGAGTATGATGTCTTTATGGTACGAAGACTTGTCTTACTCAGTGGTCAAATCTTGGTGAAATAGCAATTAGAAATAAACACAATGGTATTCCATTTGAATTACTTTTTTTAAAGTAAGTTATTAGACACTTAGAGATTCTACAAAGAAGATTATTAACAAATATTCAGAGAAAGTTCATTCCCCCACCCCATATTTTGAGTCAGTTTGGTTGCTGATTCTGTTAAGAGTGATTCTGTAAAGTATAATTTGTTTACACTCTTAACTTCCTCTTTTGCAACTATTTTGTCTCATAGTTATTTAGGGGATTTCAGTGAGAGAGAGAGATGTGAGGTATAAATTCCAATAGAAGATAGGTCTCTTGAAGAAAGGAAGTTTTTCATTTTTCTCTTTATATGTTCTGTAAGGAGCCCATTTTTGGCCTTTCATTTTATCACCAGTATTTAGCATATAGTGAATGACCCATAGTAGGCACTTAATAAATGCTACTGACTTGACTTCCCATGTCGTAGTCATTTAATGAATGTTTGTTGATTGTTGATTGATTTAAGGTTGGGATGTCAGTACCAGGATTGATCATTCTTTCTGTAGTTTTCAGTAAAATTTTCAGTAAAATTAAATCTTGTACCATGATGTATGGCATGATGTAATGAAGATGCTCTTGATACACTTGATTTGCATATTTGCTGATGTTGTTGGTGGGTTTCATTCTTATTGCTATGTCTTAAGTGGTATATATAATAATATTCAAGGTAAATACTATGAACCAAGAAGTGGAAGAACAGAAACATCATCTGAGTGGGGCACATTCATACTGAAAAATGGCTTAAACAGCAAAGAGATGATGAGATGGAATAGAAACATGGTACAGTAAAAACTACACAATGGAGTCAGAGAAACTTGGTTCAAATTCTAGCCCTGGCCAGTTGCTACCTGAATAATGTTTGGCAAGTAATAGCTTCTCTGTACCTCCATCTCTTATATGAGGGATTTGGGGTATGTGAACTTAAATGTCCTGGTTTTAAATCTACAATGCTATGATTTGAAAAACTTAATTGTAAGGAAAATTTATACTGTTAACTCAATCTCCCTTCTACAATTTTAGTTCCTCATAAGGTGGTTGACTCTCCTGACTAGGACTAGGACTTTTTCTGGTAGGTCCCAGGAAGCACCCTCCATATTCTTATACCTCCATTAGTTTATTTATTACCTGTGTAACCACAGAAAAGTCAATTTCCCTGCACCTCAGTTTCATTTGTAAAATGTTATCATGTATAGTACTCATCGGTAAAATGATAGAAATTATACCTGTAGACTTATCTCACAGGGTTGTTGAGATACTTAAATGAGTGTATGAAGCCCAATGAAAATCTGAAAACACTACGGTAAGTTCCAGCACTTGTTGGTATTATTTTAATCTGTTAGGCACCTATAAGCTTAGGACCCTATTCTCAGTTGTGGAAAGGCAATGGATTTTCACTTAATGAGATAAATTAATCCCTGTTCATGTGTTGGCTTTCTTGTGTGCTGTCTGTGGAAGATAACATAATTCCTGAGCTCAGTTAAGCAGCATGTCTCCAGAAGGCCCTCAAGGAGTGACTCTAATTATAAGGATTTTAGGCAGTAGGGTACTTTTATCCTAAGATACATTTGGTCAGCCAAGCCCTTTAGAACCCCTTAAATTATTGCCAGTATACAGTTTCTTCACTACTTACAGGTATAGCTAGCCCTGTCTTTATGTGTCTTTCAGCCTAAGAATTTATTTACTATTCATTCATTGTCATTGCTCAAATTTCTCATTTCTCCATCTTCCTCCATGTTATTATCCATTTCTCTATTCATCTTTGCACAGATGATAGAAGTCTCATTACAAATGCCAGATATTTCTTTATTAATGCCAGATCCTCCTCCTTTTCTTTTAGTGTGTCTCTTACCCAGTTTGATATATTTTGTGTGAGGTCCAGCTTTGTTCCTTGGACTGGTGTTAAAGTTATTTTTTATTCATTCCTTCTAGTGACTTATCTTTGGAATCTTTTAATCCCTAACTTTGGTTAATCATATTATACTTGTGCTTTTTGGGGGTGGGACTTGTTCATTTTTCTTACTCTGGTAAATACTTTCTTTTGAGGTTCTTTGGTTACCTTTTTTCTGTTTGTTTTCATCTATTTATTTCAGAAGAACTGTTGAAGACCATTTATTCTCTCATCTTGCTAGGACTACCTACTTTTAAACTTCTTTAAATACTTTAAATCATAGAGGTTTGTTGTATTTATTTATTTATTTTAAGATATCACTCTTGTAGTAGTTACAGCAAACTAATTAAAAAGTGTTATATAGCATTAAATTACTCTGTTATGCTAGACACCTCTGGCAATGCCTCACTTAATTCATTAACATAGGTCCACAAATAGGTGAGACATGTATTTTTGGTGGTTCAAAAATGTTTCTGAGCCTGAAGGTTATCTTTTTCCGAAGGGTATTTTTCTAAGCGGTTATTTATCTGAAGATAATAAATCAATGCAACATTATTTCAGATTTTAAAGATGTATTTTTTGTTGAAGTCTATCAACTATCAGCATGCCACATAAAATAAAATATGAAATGATGAAAATGAAGTGTGATGAAATTCATACAATTTATATTTTAAATTTCTTTTGGATCAATCTGCAATCTTATTGATTTGGGTATTCCTCTATACATACTGCAAACCATCTGGCCTTTCTCATCCTGCATAAAACTTATGTATGGTGTTTCCTAGAGCTTCCATATATGATCCATGTAATATATTGAACACCTTGTTCTAGATCAGGTTTCTTAAATGAGGTACATGAACTTTTTTTTCCTCTTAAAAATATTTTGATAATTTCAAAATACTGTTTTCCTTTGTAATCACATGCAACTTACATTATTCATTAAAAATATTCTGAAAAGGGTTTCATATGCTTCACCATATTATCCAAGGGATCAATTACAGAATAGAATAGGAACTCCTGTTTTAAATCTTTTCATATTTCTTTAGTATTAGTGTAACATAAATGTTTCTTATGTCTTTTCCTTTGCTCTAGCCCTCTAAATGGGGCACCTTTTTTTTCAAGTATGTTGTTATTCAGTTGTTTTCAGTTGTGTATGACTATTTGTGGCTCGGTTTGGGGTTTTCCTAGCAAAGATACTGGAGTGGTTTTCCATCTCCTTTTCCAGCTCATTTGACAGATGAGGAACTGAGGCAAATAAGGTGAAGTGAAAGTGCTTTGTGTAACATAGCTAGTGAGTGTCTGAGGCCATATTTGAACTCGGGGAAATGAGTCTTTCTAACTTCAGGCCCTGAACTCCACCCACTACTCCATCTATCTGCTCTTTTTCAAGTATACATCTTCCCAATATCGTCCTTGACTCCTTTTCATTCATATAGGTAGGTATTATGATCATGCTTAAAGCTGCCATGCAATTTTGCTTTTGAGTCACCTGCAATTTACATTCCTCAAAAATAGTTATGTTCTAATAGTCACAAATATGCAGCATTGACTGCAAAAAAAATTGCATTAAAAGCAAAGCAAAACAAAGCAAAGCTTGGGTTTTAGCAGCCTGGGATTGTTATAAGCACTGTAACTTTTCCATGAGCAAGCTAGCTCATTCTTGTCTTCCTATTCAACTGTAGGATCAACTCCTTTCCTTCCTGCTGTGCCTATTTTCAATACATACATTGACATACAAATACAATAGACTGGCCAGCTAACTGTATGTCATAGCCTGGAGAGTTGGCATTTTTCATCCATTTAGTTTTCCAATATGAAATGTTATCTTGAGACCTTTTGAGCAAATAAATACATCCAACTGAGTATTGTCTTGTTTAAAGTAAGCATTTTGGAAAGGCAGAGATGTGTTTTAGTAACATGGCCATTGTTAGAAATAGTTTTTAGAGCTCTTCTTTTGGAACTCCCTTCACACTCTGTGCCACATCCTTTTGGATGTATGTGGAGTAAGTAAATCATTGTCTTTTAGGGCAGAGTTGAAATGTTGAAGCTACTCCAAGTAATGGAAGTCTACTGAGGCAAATAAACATGGGTTTAAAAGGAAAAGTGACTTGTAAACTGATTTTAAACACCACAGAAATGCTTGTATCCTTCCATAGTGAAATTCTTTTGGAGGTCAGCTTCTTCGTGTGTGTGTGTGTGTGTGTGTGTGTGTGTTTTAAATCTTATTCTTACAATCATAATTTTAATTATAATAAAACCATCATTAAAAGTTACTCCCGAGATATAAATAGATATTTATCATGCTACCATTAATATTGCTTACTTCAAATGTACTTTTTAGTTGCATAATTTAATCTTAATTTATTCTTATTTTTTCACAGAAATGTTGATTGCTGTGATCTGCAAAAAAAAAATATGGATTTTTAGCAACTGAAGAGCAAGTCAAGGTAATTATTCAATCACTGATGACAACTATGTTTAATTCATTTAAGATTCATTGAAGGCATAGTAAGTTGTTCTACTTAAATTTAAAAAAAATTATTAAGATTCTTTTGTGTTCAGATCACTGCCTAAGTGTTGGGGTTAACAGAACGATTTGTAGAAATGAAATAGTCTCTATCCTAAAGGAGTTTTCAGTCTTAAAAAGTTTCATATTTAGTTATATCTACTGTGTTACTTTTGCATTTGTATGAATTTTCATAAATAATTTTAAAGTCAGTTTGGCATTTCTTGTCTTAATTATTCTGTTTTGAGAAAGAAAGATAATACCTACATGATGGTGAAGTATGGAAACAATATGAGATTTGGGCTTTTACAAAAACATACAACAGCAACAAAAAAATCTTCCCTTAAGAAAAAAAGTATGGAGTGGGTAGCCCAAAAAAACCTACAAATAAATGCTACCCAAGAGATGGAAAAGCTAACTTGTAGGTTTAGATGAGTGTGTTTAACTATCTCATATGTCACATTTAACATCATTAAAAGTGTTCAGTTGACTTTTATTTAGCCCCAACCTAATGGTATCTGTTATATTCTAAAACGATCAATATTAGCAAATAAATCAGATAGATAGCAATAGTAAAATACACATTTTGACAAAGGTTTTTTTTTTTAAACTTCATGTCCCCATCTTGAAGTACAACTGACTTTCCATTAAAGTTAGATTTTTTTGTATTATTTGTAGATTATATCCTGAAAGCAACTTGTTGTAAGCTCTTTGACAGATTTTTAAAAACAAGTTCTAGTACATGTGCTTTTTAATTTTTTTTTTTACCAAAATGATGAAGGGTCAAAATATAGTAAGTGGTAGCAATAGCCTTGAAGCTTATCATACTTAATTGATTTTTTTTTCTGGTCAAATTTCTTTGCTCTTTGACTTTACTTAGATTGTACTAAAATCTTGGTTCCATGTAATCTTTTGTTTCGAATTATCTTTTTCCACTTTGGGGCATGTTATTTTTCTTTATATCTTTAAAAAAATAGTGTCAAACCCGTAGAATCATATAGGATTTGTTAACCTATAAGAGTAGAAATAAAAGAATTTAAATTTACATGGGAAGAAAAAAAATTTCCTTCAAAGGTGGAGGGATTTTTTTTTTCAGTTTTGTAAATTGCATTTAAAATATGGGGTACAGAAAAGGGAAGATAACATTTATGGTTATTGTACTGTTATTTTATGTATTTTTATTTCTTATTTTGAATGAAGCATTTTCTTCATTAAAGTTTATTTTCACATAATTTCAAATTTATTTCTTTTCTAAAGTATTTTCATATAGTTGAATTACAGATTTTCTTTGCTAAACAAATTATACGGGTCCCTGTCTTCTTCTGGAAAAAAAATCTCATTTACCTATAAATTGAACTAATTGAGGTAATTAATTTCAAATACATGACTTTGTCATTGAAGTATAGTTCCACCCTTTAGAACTGATAAGGCTTAAACATTAGACATGGGGGAAAATGTATTCACTGAAAGTTTTAATTTTCACTCTTAAGCATTTTTCAAATTTTTGAATTCAGAAAACTTATCAGGCAATAGAGAGAGCTCCAGTCCTATGGACCTAAGGTGATAGAGTAAATTGTCAAAGGGATTAATTGCAGAAGGTAATATTTTAAATATGTAACTTGTGCTTAGAAAGGATTATAAGTAACCCCTGTGTGAAACACTGTGGATTCTACCTTGTTTGAACATGAATTCTTAAGCAGCTAGCTTCAAAATATGTGCATATATACATATAGTTTATAATTATATTTCTAATAATGTGTGTATACACAGCTAGGTGGCTCGGTGGATAGAGAACTAGGCTTGAAATCAGGAAGCGTCATCTTCCTGAGTTCAAATCCGGTTTCAAACAACATACTAGCTGGGTAACTGTGGGCAAGTTACTAATCCTGTTTGCCCCAGTTCCTCGTGTATAAAAATGAGCTAGAGAATGAGATTACAATCCACCAATCCACTCCAGTATCTTTGTCAAGAAAACCCCCAAATATTGTCATGAAGAGTTAGATACAACTGAAACAACTGAACAACAATAACACATATCCACATATATTTATGTATATACATATATGTATACATATGTATATATGTATATGCTTACCACACACATGAGTAGAAATGAATCAATGTAATTTAAAACCAGAGTGTAAGTTCCTTTAGGGTAAATAACCGTATCTTATTTATCTTTGTAGCTTTCTCGGTGCTAAGTTAGGCATTACAGATGTTTATGAAATCAACGAAATAATTGTGTTATTTTATACAGGCAAAAAAAGGAAGTATATTTTTTGGACGGCAAATGAATGAGAGTCATAAGATGAAATGTTTTTTATAAGTGGGGGGCTGATAAAGATATCTACCTCTTATCTAAAGCCTCAGTTAAGGAAAATCTTTTTCATATGACAGTCAAAAGAGAGGGAACTTCTTTAAATACTGAATATAAACTTCTGTCTTTAAAGAGTTCTTATCTGGTTTGTTTTAGTTATTGTTAAAAGTTGTTGTACAAAGTTGTTTTTTTAAATTTCATTCTAGTCTGAAACTTGGATTCATATTTAGCAAAATAGCACAAACATAATATTCAGAAAATCATATTTGTGTTTTGAAAGTACCATGTTCATTAAAGGTATGAAGCTCAATGTTACATTTTCTGTTTCCTGTTCTCTCTGTGGGCTCTAAGCTGTCACTAATTCCCTCAACATTTTTCCCTCTCCCTTTGACAACCTTTTCCCTTCCATACACAAAAATCAACCTTTTTTTAGTTCCATACAACAAAAATGTGTGAATTAATTTTCAATTCTGAAATAACTTTTTTATAGGATTTTTCAATTTTTTAAAGTATTTTTCAGTAAATTTGTAGATTGTCAAGAAAGTATAAGCATTTCTTTTGGGAAGACTAATTAGCATCTCAGTGATACCATGACACATAGCAGCATGGGCGTTTTGATAGACTTGATTATTTGGAACTAAAATATGGTTTTGACTTTTATTATTTCATTGGAGTGAACTGGCTAAAATCAGGTCTCTGAAAAAAGTCAAGACCTCTATGAAAGTTACTAATTAAACAAATGCCTTTTCTATATAATTTTATTATCACTGCTGTTTAAAAAAAGAGTTTGGTTTGCCATGGCATTAGCATTTCTAACTAATTTAAAAACCACAGGCACTTGAAGTGAATGAATGATATAATAACTGGGCCATGGGGTCAACTTAAAATGATCAATTATTCAGGCCATCAATCTCATCCCAATTTTTTTTTTCATTCTTGGAGATATCTTTGCTGTCAGAATGTGTCAGGCATGTAGTTGGTACCCTTCAAAATTAACATGCATAAGTAGTGGCCTTCAGAAATCTGTAGGAAGATAATTCTAGCTGCTAGTGAGCTGAGCTGAATGATAGCTAATAACGGTAGCTGCTGGTGAGCTGAGCTGACTATGAGTTGTCTGTCTACGCTTACGTGACACAAGATAATTCAGGATACAAAACAATGACCAGGAGTTGTGTATATAATAAACACCATCTCATGAAATCTCATAAAGGGGCACATAGAATTATATGCATAATAACCTAGAATTAATGTTAAAAGGTATATTTTTTGGTGACAAATGTGTTCCTTTAAAAATTGTTTAAAAAATGCAAACCTTATTTTAAATGCACTTGAAGACCATTGTTTGGAGAATGCTAACGTGCATTGTTATATATGAAGAAGAGTTATTTTGAAAAACAAGCAATCATTCACTGGAATTCATGTCTCATAATTTAAAATTGTTCATGTGCCATAAGACTTTATTCATCCATAAATTAGCTGAGAACTTGGATATAAACACAGAAGCCTCTGAATAACTAAAATAGATGGCATAACATCCATCCAATAAAGGTAATCAGAAGAAAATTCTTTAGACCCTTACACACAAGACCCCTAAGTTTAATTTATACCCAATGTTGACAATCTGATTACCATACCTACCCCCTATTTCCCAGGCCTTGAGAAGCAGAAAATCATAAATAGCAAACAACTAGAGGCAGATAGCCTGGTGGCAGCAAAAAGTAACAGCTGACAGGCTCACAAAGGCTAAAAATTATTCAAAGCAAGCACAAGAATGACAAATCTCAGCAGGTCATTTAGTGTAGGTGCTAACAGCCCGATATACCATAAAAGGTCTGTTGTTTAGTGTACTGTACAATAACTTATATTGAAAATAATTATGTTCAACTTACAGTTTTAGAAAATTTAAAAATGTGTAATGAACTTTGGAAGATTTGCATCCAAAAGTATTTACCTGTTTTAAAAAAGAAAACATTGACATAAAAGAAAATCTCCTACTTTGAAAATTTAGCTGTCTGCTATAATCCTTATCACCCCTACAGTCATTTTAACTACTACATTAGATTACCAAAAGTTTAGTGAACCTTTATGGGAAGATGCAGTATGGAACATGTTTTCTGTATAGTCATTAAAATGAGAATTTATTTTATTTCCTTATTATATCTTTAGTTCTGAGATTCCAAAAGTTCATGAAAGTTTCATTCTGTAATTAATTTCTTCTATTTGAAACACAGATTTAAAGTAAATGGTGGTATTTTTGAGATCTAATTTTAGGGGTTTTCAATAAACTATTGCTAATTACTAAAAAAAAAGATAAGTAAATTATTATTCTTGCTAGTTTTTATTTAATACAAATTTTACTAGTTTTGATTTATTAGATAACATGATTTCAAAGGGTTAAGAGGAATTAACAATGAAACATCTTCATTTCAGTTATATTTTTAAAATAATTATGTTGTTTCATATATGCACCTGTATATATTTATGTCTGTATGCATGCATATGTAATAATTATGAATATTTTTTCTAGTAGCCATACTTTTATAGAAGGAGCAACAGAGGATGTATTGGTGCCATCTGAGATCATGACTCTAAGAAACTCATTTGTTGATTGTTCATAGTACCTA